GGAAAGGGGAATGGAAGGACTTTGAGCTGGGGTTGTAGTTTCGATCCGACTTGTAATCTTTATTAAAACCTTCAATAGAGTTATCAATTTCTAATTGGTTCATAAGTAGATTAATTATTATGAGCTTAACATGTAAATATTAGGCAGATTGAGGGATACTGTTAATTAATTAAGCTGAAGGATGATAAACTTACTGCTGGAACTCTATGTTGATGGATGCAGCGGTGGAATTGGCAATGGCGCCAAACGCTGTCTGCGACAAAATCATGGTGGTCCCGGCGGAGGACGGCGACGAGACTAGCGTACCGGCATAATCCACAATCTTGATAAGAATAGTCATGTCGGGAACACAAGTCCCCGGCCTGGCGGCGCTGATGCACCTGACCTGGTACTGCCTCCCGCAGGATGCGCCATTGTCCCAAATCCCCTCCCCGGCCGCCGCGAACAGATTGCTCGTCGGAAACTGCGACGATTCGGCCCCGTAACAGTTCGTGGCTAAAATCACGTACGGAGATATAGCAAATTTCAGAACAGCACTTGTACGTGTGCTTAAGATTTTGTGTTGTTTGTTATGTGATACTAGTTCATGTTTTTGTGAGAAAGGTTAGATATATGATGATATTCATGACTTACGTAGATATGGAGGAGAGTACTGGGCTGCGCTTCCAACGTCACCTTTGGAGGTACGGAAAATCTGTGAAATCATGAGAGTATTTAGAAGAACTTGAATAAGAACATGGCGATTTTTTCCCATGTTTTGCATAAATGGGGTTTGGGAGTTTGGAGGATAAGCTCAGTATTGGAACTTCTTCTCGTGGTATGTTTATTTGATAAGAGAGAGAAAAATAAAAAATAAATTCTTCTAATTCGTCTTGGAATATTTATTTTAAGATTTAATATGATTCTAAGTCAACGTGTTTGTTTGTTATTTAATTTAGTATTTGTTCATTTTTTCCTCATTGTGTATTTGATAACTTAAAAGAGACGGCGGAGAGGGACCCAACACCCAAGGTTCGGTGCCTTGTATATTTTGCCAACTCATTACGCGGCTTCTTCAATCTTCCATAATTTGGCGTTCTTTCTTTTCTTTTCTTTTTTTTGACGGCTAAATGTGATTTTAATTGAATCAAATATTTAAAAAAGTGTACTATATATCAACCAGATTGATGATTTTTTAAAGGTTTTTTTTATATATATATATTTTTTTTTGGGGGTTAATGATTTGCTTTTTTGTTACTCCATTAAGGATATGTAAAATTGATGTCATTGGATAAGGTAGACAATTTCCTAAAAAAAAAAAGAAAGAAGAAAAATAAAAACCTTAATATCGAGGCAATTTAGCTTTAAAGGGATTTTTAGATCTGGGCATCTGACTATTTAGGGAAACTTAATTGGGAAATTTCTTAAACGGCAATTAATGATTGGAACGTCTAACAAGCTTGACATTCAAAGAGAGTACACTCCAAAGAAACAGATTTCACAAATTGATAGTTATCATATTATCAACGTTAATAAGTTGATTATTTGACGGGGCTAATTGATTTTATAGTTCATACAAATGTGCAATCTGGCTATGATAGCTTTTCATTTGGTTGATCATATGTTATCTGTTCTTTTCTGGTTCTTTCTCTACCATTTAATATGATTATTATTTATTTTAAGAAATATAATTAGCATCTTAAAATGATAATAACAACGATATTCTGCCTTGTTACGTCAAGCTTCATGTTCTCAGTTTTATCGACGCCATCATTGGTATGATCGAAATATTATTATATTGATATGATGAGTAAGACCTTTTAGCATAGACTTTTTGTAGAAAGGAAAATTCCGTACATGCGTTAAAAATCATACAGTAAGTAAATTTTAAAATTCAACTCGTGCATACTCATACAACATCTCTTTTTACTCTGAAAAGAATTTTGTATCTACAAGTTTAATCTCATCACGCCAGGGAAAAAACAATTATCTTTTAGAATAAATTAAAATGGTAGGAATTTTATACCGTTCTTTCCCTCTCAGTAAATAATTTATCTTTATAACAGGTTAAAATGTTAATATAACAACAAATATAACAATAAATAACAGGTACAAATATTAAATCGAGGTACTCATTCTATGACAACTATCAGTAACTTACCCGCTATTTTTGTGCCTTTAGTGGGCTTAGTATTTCCGGCAATTGCAATGGTTTCTTTATCTCTTCATGTTCAAAAAAACAAGATTTTTTAGATATTATGGGATTAAATCTTATCTATTTTTTTTTTTCAAGACTTAGGCTTACTTGGATCATAGCACAATTATCTATTTAGTAGAATATGGTATACCGTGTAGCTTCCTCCGAGCAGAAGCTCGTATGCATAAACACGATATATGGGAAAATGAATTATAGCTATTTGAAGATAAATCATTATCGGGATGAATTTCTGAAACGTAAAGTCAATATATCTAAATGTCTGTGCATATCTATAAGAAATCATAAAAAAAAAAAGGATGTTATTATTTTAGTTTAGCTCTAAGCAATTGATGAATTACTCCTCAAGCTTCACATCATAATAGTACTAGTCGATGAGGATTACTTCGGAAACAAAAAAATTAAAGTCAAATTTATTGGGATTATCTCCCAATTACAATAAAATGCAACTAGATCTAGTATAGTATGAGTTGGCGATCAGACCATATATGTATAGAACTTATAGCGGGGTCTCGAAAACCGAGTAATGTCTGCTGGGCTTTTATCCTTTTTTTAGGTTCATTAGGGTTTTTATTGGTTGGAACTTCTAGTTATCTTGGTAGGAATTTTATACCGTTCTTTCCCTCTCAGCAAATAATTTTTTTTCCACAAGGAATCGTGATGTCTTTCTATGGAATCGCGGGTCTTTTTATTAGTTCATATTTGTGGTGCACAATTTCGTGGAATGTGGGTAGTGGTTATGATCGATTCGATATAAAAGAAGGAATAGTGTGTATTTTTCGTTGGGGATTTCTTGGAAAAAATCGTCACATCTTCCTCCGATTCCTTATGAAAGACATTCAATCCATCAGAATAGAAGTTAAAGAGGGTATTTATGCTCGTCGTGTCCTTTATATGGAAATCAGAGGCCAGGGGTCCATTCCCTTGACTCGTACCGATGAGAATTTGACTCTACGAGAAATTGAACAGAAAGCTGCTGAATTGGCCTATTTCTTGCATGTACCAATTGAAGTATTTTGAGAATGCTTTCTTATTCTTAGCAAAACAAAAGGGAAAAAACTATAACTCAAGAATTCTCTTTCTCTTTTTTCTATAGCATAACTTAACCGAAGTTTCTGCCGAACTCTGATTAGAACAAAAATAAAATAAAGTAAACGTACACGAACCAATCATAAAGCGAAATAGTTTTTGTCCATAAATTCTTTTTTATGAGTATGTAAATCTACTTAAATCAATTCAGTAACGAAACAAGTAACAAATCGAAATAATAGATTCATCTCATATATCAAAACATTTCGGAATAAAGAATTTATCTTTTTTTTTATTTTCAATATTTCGAATTTAGTAAATACAGATAGATTCTCTCTTATAACTAATTTAACAACTCAAGTCATGACTCAAGTCATATTTCTACAGTGTTTTCTTTCATTTAAATTCAAATTCAACTTTTTTACTACAATATTTTTCTCTCACATACACAACTCAAGTCATGACTTGAATTATGTAAATGAACACACCTTAATATTTCATAAATGCCCCTTAAACACGCGAACATCAACTTGTCCGCAAATTTTTGAAAGGGGGGTCATTGTAGCAAATCAAGTACATCAATCGTTTGAAATAAATATTTAGTTCAAATCTATCTATAATATTAATAGAAGATTGCTAACGTGACACTAAATGTTAATTTTATACGCTCTCGAATTATTGATTTATGTCAACTTACCTCTCAAGTTTTTTTTTTTTTAAGTGATCCTTACACCTTATCAACTACATGAAAGCATTCAAAACATGCATTTGTCGAATTTTCTTTCTTTCTTCTTTTTTTTTTTTTTTTTTTTGAAAAGTTTCCTAATATATGTTAAAAATTCAGAAAACTGTATGTGTCCCCGTCAAATTTATCCCATTAGACACAAAAGTGAGCCCTACTTGTAGGTCCACATTGGTCTCACCATGTTTGTTTCTATGGAAATAAATCTCCATAGTGACCATAGAGGTACTCTAAAAATTCTTTTCTTTCTCCATTTCTCCGCTCACTCTTTTGAGCACCCAATTTTGTTTAGCCCTTCTTCATTTTGATGCCTTTTTTTTTTTTTTTTTGTGATTTCAATGCAGTTGTAAACAGATTGACATAAATACTCATAAAAAAAATAATAAAATAAAAAAAAACTCGATTGACTGATTAAAGTTAGCTAAACAGTAACAACTGCAATATATCTAAGTTTGATGAGGTTAATTATAGCACAATTCTTAACCAAATAACTCAAAAAGGAATGGACATCCAAGGCCCTTCCTACTTTTACCTGTAACTCAATACGATCAACCAATTTTAGATAAGAATTGGGCCACAATTGTCGTTGATTTGGTAAACCAATATTGTCTACCACATATTCTACATGTTGACCTGATAGCCCTTTCATAATTTAATAAAAAATCTGATCTTTTATCAGAAATTTCAAAAAAAAAACGGGTGGTGGTTGCCTTTATCCATCGCGTTGACTGTTGACTCAAATTATTGCTCATATTGATCTACAATGTCCACTTCCACCCAATGGATCGTCATCCTCTCTCATTAGGTTCTAATTTGGCGCAAAAAAGCTCTTACAAACACTTTGCTTTCGATGGAAAATTACAAACATTATTTTCTTATTGAACTTATGAGCAACTTGTCGGTTGGCATAGTAGTAGCTACATATCTTGAAAAAAAAAATGAAATAATGGAAAAAAAAAATATTACGCCGCTTGATCAATTCAGATGTTTTTTTTTTTTTTTTTTTTAACTCTGTTTTATCTCTCTTCAAATCCTCATATGTCATTTTTGTGTTAGATTTGATCAGAAAAAATATAGTTTATTAAGAGAGATTTTTAAAACCAAATATCATTTATATTCTCAGTAAAAATATAATTTTGCAACCGCCTATAATCTATAACAAATTATATAGGCCGGTTTGAGGGGAAGGAAAAGAAAAAAAAAAAAAAAAAAAAAAAAAGTAGTCTTTGTAGCAGAGACGAGGTATAATTTGTTTAAGTAAGGAATAATGCATGTGCAAAGCCTAACGTGTCAAACCCTGCTATATTTTAAAAGAATACTCTAACGACTATCAAAAACAAATTGTAATTTAATTTGCATGAAATACGACCGAGGACCAGATTTTGGAGTTTCATCAATCATCTTATGATCTCTTGAAGTTGTCAGTAGCAAATCTAGCAGATGATTGCTCCAATTCCTAATTATTTATTTACTTTTTGCCTTTGTTTTTTTTTTTTTTTTTCTTGTAGCTGAAGCAAAGAAAAAAGTTGATAAAGGTTTGGGGAAAAGAGTGTGATGTTCCAGCAACTTCTGGGACATTAATTTGTCGACATTAATACATATAGTTTCAAATTCAAATTAAACATAACTAGATTTCACTTTTAATCTGCCTATGATACGTGGCTGACCTCATCTTAGGTTTCAAATTCAAAGATGGATCTTTTTTTTTTCCTTCTTTTTTCTTTCTTTATCCCTCGGAATAATTAAACATAACTATGGAGTTTGATTTTGGGATCAAAATGACAATATTCCGATGGACCAATTTAACTGTCAGAATACTTCATCCTAATCCCATAAGCCTCATCAACTTACTTGTTAAGCTTGAACTTCTAGAGAGTTCATTGTTTATGGTATCAAATTTATTACGAGTAAGCGATGATTTTTCTCTCTTCCTTTATTTCCCTTTTAAATTTCCTTTGACATTTATACAAATAATTTTATAACAATGTTAAACAGGGTTTTGTCCCTTGTTCTCGATCTTATACGTGTCAACTTAGCTCGTTACTGTTAGGATAGATTGTTAGTTGGCTGTTTGGCAAACTAAGTCTGTTTTGTAAGCAAAGGTCCATAAAATAGTAACTAGAAGTCATCTTGGTATTCCGGAGTGCTACAGTGTAGTTGGTGCATTGGCAGATGAATTGTTGCTAACAGATAAGGAGAAGATAAAGCTAGGCACGTGAAGATCTTGATCCCTTATTTGAATTTGTACTTGATCTGATTTCCTAAGGATATTCGGTTCTAGAAATCAGGAAAGATAAACCGGAGGATTTGGAATTCAAATTTAAAAGCAGATTATGCTAATCTCATCGGAGAGAATCTTGGTGAAAAAGATAAGAGGTTTGTGTTTGAATAAGATTCGGTGAGCCATTTGAAAGTGTAGATAAAAGGCTTCAGTTGAGAAAACAGTAGGTGACTTTGAACGTATAAAATTTTCCAAAGTGTGTGCTGTTGAGAGAAGATAGAACTTGTTGAAAAGTTCTGCACCATGTTCAGAGATGAAAGTATGAACAACTGAAGGGAGTTCAGGAGTTGAAAGTGAAGACGTGTGGTACACGCTAAACAGAGTCATTGTGCGATTTCATCACAGTGGTGTCATAGTCTAGGAGGGAGTCTTTGAGTGAATAAGTCTGTCAGTGTTGTAATTCTTAAAGTATAGTGAAACTGTTTACTGTCTGGGCGTGGCCCTGCAGAGTAGGTGTGCGCACTGAATTGCGATACCATATTACGTGTCTATTTAATTTCTGCGCTATTATTCTTCGTTGGTTAAGTTGATAAGTATAATAGTGTTCCAAATAGTGTTCCAACATCATCTGGAACATCAAACGTAACATCAGATCTAACAGTTACCAACAATCAAATTGAGAAGACCCATAAGTTAGCCAATGACAAAGGCAATTATTGGAGGATTTTCACGGTCTAAGATCACTAGACATGTCATGAACCCTGGCCGGAGTCAGGAGACCGAGGCTGATATGTGCGAAGGGGTCGAAGGATGGACCTCGATCGAAGGATGAGACTGAGATGGATCTGACGGAGAACTCCAACGCATCGAGACCGAAGCGGACTGAGATTGAAGTTAAAGCATGAATGATTCGTGTTAAGAAGAGGATCCTGAGGCAGTGACACACGTCCCGCCTCCCTCTGATTACTGCGACCAACCTAAATATGATGCATGTAAAGTAAATAACATAATTGAAAGTGACATTTCCTGAATTAGGAAGCTTCCGAGAGCCTTCCGAAGAAGGAAAGTCTTGGAAGAAACCCTAAAGGGAAAGGAATGATGATGTTTCATGATTAGAATTGATCATGAATATACTTCTGATCATGACAATCATCGTAAAAATAGAAAACGATGAAGATTGAAAAGGGGACTTTTCAAAAATGAGGAGACCTTCTGAGACCCTTTCGACTCTCTCTAATCCGAATTTCTTCTCTTTTGACTTGAATATTGGAGTGTCTTCTGCAAAACAACTCCCGACATCCCCCAGTAAAGGAGTGATCGGAAG